TGTTTAAAGTTTTAACAGTTTCACTCCGGTCGTCTTCCTTTGAGTGGAAAAATTGACAACTCCCCTGGTGAAAATTTAACCTGTCGGGGATTTTCGGGCCAGAATCGGGTCTCCAGTTGATTTATTGCCTTCTGAACTAACTTGTTATAATTTAACGAAATTGCATGGTTGCTCAAATCTGCACACGTTTATACATACGTAAACGCGTGTATAGGAGTTGAGCTGTCACTCTCGCAGTACATCTGCAATTCCAGCAATTATTAAACAACAAACTTACTAATTAAAACCATAAATTACCGGCAGGCTCGAGAATCACCCATCCCGGGGTCAGACCTCGGTCTTATCCCGTCCAGCCTCTGAAGTTGTTCTCCAGCATCAACAGCTAGGTCATTTCAGCCCCCAATGCAATTAGTTCCTAAATCCAAACCCACTCACCCTCAAAATACATTCTTTCTTATTTATATATCATTCATTCAGTGAGGATACTGGAGTATATGACCTCCATCCCCCGTTTCACTTATTATATAACTAACAATTGATGGGCGATGGGGTACTTACTATTCCGCCATTGGCCTCACTAAACATTCACACTAATAAATGCATTCACTCTCAACTCAGACTAGGGATACAAAACCGTCAATATGATGTACAGTAGAACAACCTTTCCTGGGGAAAAAACAGAACAGGCCTCAGATACTCGCTGCCGTGCTCAAAGCCTCAAACACAATTCTCTATATAGCAAAGGAACTGAGTGAGATATAATGAACAAACTTTCTCTACATGCCGGTCACATTTGCCTGTTTTGGCCAAAAAGTTAAGCGTGGGAGTGACCTCGTACCTTATCTTGATCGGGTAAGGATGACGCCCGTTCTACGAGTCAGATCCTCCGATAGCCAACAGTGCTGTAGATACCTGAGCATTCTCTGCCTATACGGCCCACAGTCCCAGCCTCCTTCTTTTACCCATGTTTTTCATTCCATTTTTATCAAGGTTGGTGGTAAAGTCCCGGTATTAGCCTCGTCCGCCTTTCGTTACCCTTTAGCCTATGTGCCAAGGTACCCAGACGATCACCGTTCTGCCTGGACGCTCCAGTTCATGGTGTTTCTCCAACAAGAGCGCAGTGGATGGAGGAGCCATGTTTTTCATTGCATTTTTAGTGCCTGAGGTTGGTGGTAAAGTCCCGGTCTTAGCAGCCTGTCCGCCTTTCGTTACCCTCTAGGCCTATGTGCCCAGGTACCCAGACCACCTTTTTTCCCAGACGCTCCAGTTCATGGTGTTTCTTCAACAAGAGCACAATTATGAAGTCGATGGAGGAGCCATGTTTTTCATTGCATTTTTAGTGTCTGATGTTGGTGGTAAAGTCCCTGTCTTAGCAGCCTCGTCCGTCTTTCGTTACCCTCTAGGCCTATATGCCAAGGTACCCAGACAACCACCATTTATCCCAGACGCTCCAGTCCATGGTATTTCTTTCAACAAGAGCGCAATTATGAAGTGGATGGAGGAGCCATGTTTTTCATTGCATTTTTAGTGTCTGAGGTTGGTGGTAAAGTCCCTGTCTTAGCAGCCTTGACCTCCTTTCGTTACCCTCTAGACCTTTGTGCCCACGTACCAAGACAACCACCTTTTTTTCCCAGACCCTCCAGTTCATGGTGTTTCTTCAACAATAGCACAATTATGAAGTCGATGAAGGATGTCACGTACAGCAGTAACGGCCCGAGTAGTCGGTGTAGATGTGGTAGGCATCCGTCTCAAATCACCTCAAGCACGTGTACATTTATAAATATTTAGCAGTTATATACTATCTGTCTTTGGGAATATGTCATAAATCTGTGAGTTTGTTGAAAGTTATTTGAAAGATTGAAATTTAAAAATAAACCAACTCTTATGAAGTACAATATTTGGTTGATTAAGTTATTGTCAATATTGGATTATATTTTTTGTTAGTATCTACGTTGAGTAGTTGAAGTAATTGTTGACTTTCTTTTCGAAGTCAAATTGTCCGTGAAATAGGTCAATTTTCTCGTTAGGCCGATTTCATCGCCAGTTGCATTCATTCATCACAATTTTGCAAAAATAAATAGGTTCTTCGATTATAGGTTCAGGTAAATAAACCTATTTATTATTGAAATCTGACGATGAAGGGATTGAAGTAGTTATTTACCTGAATCGTCGATGAAAAGGCAATAAAAAAAGAGGTGTGGTAATAAATCGGTTCTTGTGTCGGGAAGCGTACTTTCTCATAATTGCCCTCTTACGCCTTTGAAGTCCACGTTCGAAGCAGTATTTTCAAATAATTTGTACATATAACATTTTAAATGAAAATCGACATACAAATTGAATCTGACATAATGAATAATTACACGCAACGCATTAACATATTCGCACATTTTTTGAAGTTAATAGCACGAACCATGAAAAAAGTATTATATGACACTATCAGACTATTACCACGGAAATGAATTGATCGTGTTTTTAAAATAAAAAAAATTGGACTGCAAGCCTTGTAAATTTTTTTCTTTTGTTGGGAAGAAAATCGTTCTCACAGGAAAACAGCATCCAATGGCTGCATATGTTTTTAATTAAGCTTTTTTCTTAGTTATGTTAGCCGAAAAGACTTCTGCTTTTGTTGTTGGAAGTTTTATTATCTCAAGCTTATCAAACAGACATCAGACTCAAGCTTTTTTTCTCTTTCTCGAACTTTGCTTTTTTTTTGTAATTGCTTATCGTCGCGATAAACCATGGATGGGGTTCAAATCGATTAGAAAATGAGAAGATCGATCTTTGATGCCTGTAGAAAAGTTAAAAGTTAAAAACCGTTCTAGAAAAACAGGCCGTAACAATTACTCGCGGGAAATTTTTTCGCGTTTTGGAAAAATTGAATCAGTTTAAGGTTCGAATTAAAAGCCCTTTCAACACCTTCCCAGGGCGGTTTTTCCTCGATGGGAAAAAGCTGATTTTTCTTTTTCCAGTCCTTTTTCCCGGGGGAACTCTTTAGCAAACAGTTGTTCAACGAGGAAACTTTTTCAGATGGTAGAAGTACATTTTGTTTTAATTTATAAAATTTAGTATTTGTAATTAACAAGTATAAAACTTAATAAACCAGTTGGTTCTTGGAGAAAATGGTCGAAATATCGGAGTTTAATCATTAACTGTTACAATTAAAACAATACTAGTACATTTTATAGAGTTATTTAAATTATGACGCCTATAAGCAACAGTATTTAATAGGATTAATCTAATATGAGTTGTTATGTAAATAAATTCTAATTTAATATTTAAAAAAATACAATCTGTAAGGAAAATAATTGTATCCTTGTACATTTTATCTTTGCTTGTCTTGCTTAGAACCATAAAAAGAAAAACACAATCGCGTTTATATTAGTACAATCTTTATCTAGATTTATTTTCACTTAATTGTATAGATAAAAAATCTTTAATCATGTTTAAAATGCAAGGCAATTTATATTATAATGGTTTATTAATTTATTTATTGGCCTTCTTCAGGTTTGATATATTTCTTATCATTTTTCGTCCAATTTATAGTATTTTTATTTATGAATACTACTATGTCAACATTGCTGATTCATTCATTTTATTTGGATTTTTTTGGGTTTGTATTTTTATGAGGTCAAACATTCGGTATATAATACACATGTACTGAGTTGTTAAACATATCACTTCTAGCAGTCCATAGGCAATTGTAGCTTTTGTAATTTAAAACGAAGTTTCGACGAGAATCACCCACCCCGGGTGTTGGTAGTCCGAGGCCGTATCCATCCAGTGGCCGAGGTCGTACTCCAGGGAACTGCCAACAGCTGGATCAATTCAGCACCCAACATTTCCTAAATCTAAACCCATTCCCACTCTACCTCATTCTTAAATTTCTTTCCTATTGACATACCATTCACTCAAAATATTGTGGTGTAGTACTCGATTATTCGTCCATCACCGTTTGCTGGGTTTCATGGGCTACCAACGGCTAGGTCTTATCAACACCCAACGTAATCAGTCTCCCATTCACACTCTCACACTTAAATATATTCTTACAGTTAGGGTGGGATTTATTATATAACTGACAATTGAGAGTCCATAGGGTACTCAATGTTCCGCCATCAGCACACCCCCCACTACACATTCACGCCAATAAATATATTCAGTCTCGACATACACTAAGCACACAAAACTGTCAGTACTATAAACAATAAAACAATCCTTATTCCTCCAAAAATCGTAACAGGGCAGCCACATACTGGCTAGTGCTTAAGCACGATTCTCATATTGGGTGGCATTCCATTTATACGCAAGGAGTTACACCCATGTTAGGTGGGACACATGAAGCAACCTTTCTCCTACATGCCGGACGCGCATAAGCGGGCTCATTCATTTTATTGCCAATTCGATTACTTTCTAATTATATCTTTCAATTAATTAAGGTTTTTTAGTTGAGATAAAAAAGTCAGTGTCACAAGCGGGATTCGAACCCGCGATGTTCGGCTGGATACGCCGCTGCTCTACCACTTGAGCTATCGTGACCTTGATCCACTCGAACAAAGTTCAAATGAAGTCCCGCTTATGACACTGACTTTTTTATCTCGACTAAAAACCTTAATTAATTGAATGATATTAATTGGTCAAGCGGACCACGAAAACTAGTGAATTTCTAATTATAGTTCGAAGTTAATAAAGTTTATCAATTTGTTACAATATTAATATAAAGTGCGTTCAGTATTCAGGAGGAACTCTCAGCTGTTTTAAATAAAAGTAGGTCTACATAATTACTTTGCAAAAAGACGTACAAAGCTAATTTATATTCAGAAGTATTCTCTGGACCAAACTGAACAAACTATGGATAGTGTGAAACCCGTTACACTAAGTTAATTGGTGGTGAATTTTTTTTATTATCCCTCAGGAGGAAAAGGAAGCCATGATCTTATCGCCGATCGGCTTTTAAACAAAAGGTCATTCGCGGCTCAAATCACAAATTGCGTGACTTTTTTTTCCAATTTAATCACTAGAGAGCATCAGTTACACACCTAACCTTGATGACCTGAATCTCCGTGGATGTAACGTCCAATCCGGAGAGAAAAAATAAAAGCGTAGAGTATAAATCACAACGGAGTATATGTAGTTATCTCTCCCGTATTTGCTTCCTTTCTTTTTCTGGTCGTAAATTATTGGGTTTTAATAATTTCCTTGAAGTTAAATATCCGCCTGAGGAAGGAAAACCAGGTGGAAATAAAAGTCCACCAACCCGTCCCGATTGTTAAACCGGTTATCTCATTAGCCGGCTTTTACCCACTTGAACCTTAGGTGCGAGGGCTAAAAATCAAGACCTGATGGACCACTCGCTAGGTGCTGTTCGCAAATAATTCCAATATAAAACGTTTTCCAGGGTTTTCCAGTTGAGTTCTTGATTCCGCCATTCATCGCTTTTGCCTATTTGATTTCCTCGTATGAGAAATCTTGATCAAGAAAGTTAAAATTGGAAAATAATTCTGACGTAAAGTAAAATAATTTGAAGAGGAAGTAACGGACCTCTCTCAATCCTTTCGATATGTAATTTTCGCTTCGTGGGACATGAGAACCAGTCCAATGTTAAACTTGAATCGTTTGTCTTTCATATAAACCCAATAGTTTCAAGTATTTTTTTTTTTTATAAACATGCGATACATGAGGATTGAATATGTAAACCAAACTTCTTTTCTCTCTCATATTTTACAAAGTCTATCCACATTGCTTCAGGCGACGGTTATTGACGCTCACCTGGCTTCTCTGGATACTGAAATTTAAACTTAATTTACACGCGCTTTTTGTACAGGAAATCTGTTAACCAACCATAAATCACATTGAATTACTGTTGCAAATGAGCGTACATTGCGAGATTTATTTTTGAGGTCTACGGCGGGTGACCGGTGGTCTGACTGCCTCGCTGCTTTGGCTCAACAAACCCCAATCTGCATTAGAGAAAAGCGTCTGAAACACCAAAATTGCGATGATGGGCGGTCCAGGATGATCTAAAACAGACACGAATTCAAGTTAGCAATAAGTCTCACATTCCATTTTTCCTTTAACCAAATCCATGTTTGCTTAGTGGTCATAATTGGCCATATTATTATTCTTTTTATCTAAGGTTTTTAGTTGAGATGAAAAGTTAGCATCACGAGCGGGATTCGAACACAAGACCTGCGATTGAGAGTAAATTCGGACGTTTGTAGGTTGAGATAGGGAGTTGGTGTCCGAGGGGATCGGAGTCACGATAGCTCAAGTGGTAGAGCAGCGACATATTGAGCCGAAGGTCGTGTGTTCGAATCCCGCTCGAGACACTATTTTTCATCCCAACCAAAAACCTTAGATAAAAGCAATAATTAATTGGTTTAACTAAATATTGTACACGTAAAAAACATGGTGTAGATTAAAACTGTGAACTTCTTGAATTCGCTGTATCTTTTTAAAGCCTGATGTGCAAAGTTAGAAAGTACTTTGTAAACTTTCTTCAGTTTAAATATCCTTATCCTTTCTTTTTTTTGCATTTGGTTTTTAAAGATCTTAATCAAAGTTTATGTGTAGGAAGGGTTGTAGATTTTTGTAAAATCTTCAAGTTAGGTAAGGAAGTAATAGATATGACAAGAAGATGTGGTGTCTTCAGATCTTCAGCGTTGACATGCCTCAGACCCTAATAAAACTGCTTCTGTTTTATCACCGACCGATCGGTAAGGAAGGTTTTTATATTACACCGGACCGGATTCAAAAAATGGGAAAATCGAACCGGCATCCTTGTTGCTAAGGGGAACCGGTTTCCTAGAGGAATGAGTGACCACTGACGAAAGGTTGCTCCCTCGGCATAGGCTGCTCCCACCCACGGGGCCCCTTTCATTAACATAGCTGGCCGTTCTCAATGGGCTCTCCTCGCGGATCGTTTCTCCTGCTTTCGCCCCGTGGGAATTCGGACGGATTTTTTTTTCACTTTTAACAGACTGTTTGTTTGCCGTTTATGCACGTTTTGAAGGCGGAGTGGCACCGTGAAGGGGGATGACTTGCGGAACCGCGTCCGCTAACGAGAAGCCAGCTCACGTTCTTCAGCTTATAGACTGTTGCGAAAAGATCCGCTGGACGGAAGAAACGTAAGGACAGTGTAACACATTAGGCAGAAAAGCATGGAACCTCGTCTACTCGTTACTTATTCAACGCTGTTAGGGTTGACTATTATCAGTGCTTGTACAGCCTAGCCCTCCAGCGAGATGGAAGCCAGTTCAGTCCCTCAAACTTATAAATATACAGGGCAAAGAGGAGTAGAACAACAATTCAGGACTATGCACCGTATATTGAACCAACATCTAAGCGTGCTGTTGGACTGGGTATTCTGCTGAAAAAGCCGCAGCCAAAGTAATCACTCATATACTCACAGTCACATAGTTTGGTTGTTTTGATAAATTTGTCAGATCTCTTCCTTTTCGGAATAGGTCCTAACTGACCAGACATGTTTGGACGTTCCATCTTTAGTAGTGGGTTAAAATTAACAAATCATATTGACAGTGACATTGCTTCCCGTATACTCGTTCGTCCTAAAAAGGACAACGAGAATCTTTAACGTCCGCACCTAGCCTATTCGGCCTTCTCGGACGTTTTGATTCTCAATCTGAGAGCCGACGCACCTCCGCATACGACAGAAGGGTGTTACTGCCGCAACGTGGTGTAGAGGCAGCACAGCCCGGAGGGGCCAAGACAACCTCGCTCCCCGCTTGCCCATTCCGAGTGGTCGGGTCCGCATTTAGCACCGACCGTATGCCGCGCGCAACGGGCAACCTAAGCAGAAATACATCAGTCTGGTTTCCCGCGCACATCCTAGGTAGAGAAGGCCACTCTACTACCCAGGGTAATGGGGCTTCCGCAGCGTAGAAACTACCGGGCTCATCTCGCCTAGATTTCAAGAAGAAACCGCATAGCCTTCGACCATGCCCAGGTTATTTAAGCGCTTTTTTTATGCATGGGGCAAGTAGATAGGATCAAACTGCACAATCATCCACGTTGATCATCATCCAAAAACGTCAGCAACAATTTTTTTTCATATCATTTTGGACATTTCGAGACAATTATGTAATACTCTTAGGTTATGAGATCGTTATGCATCGTGCGTTTTATTTTTTATTTTTCTACTTATACCTACTATAACTTGTCAGATCTTTGGTCATCGGATACAAAACAATAGACGGTTTGTCACCACTATGTATTTCAGATCTTCCTCAGGGCCTAACAAATTATTGATGTTATAGTGATACAATATACAACAATTTTTTAATTCCAATAACCTCTTCCCTGATCCATTAGTAATACATTCATGATTTGGGTTGTCAATACCCATACCAAAGTAATTTAATGTTTGGTATGGCTTTGAACAACTTGGCAGGTATCTTGTTTATCATTTCTTGCCCCTCGAGAACGATATTCATAATTTAATTGTCTATATGCATACCTAAGAGATGAGTGTTTGGTATGATTTTGATTAACTTGGCAGGTTTAGGTCTTTTTTTTATCATTTCTTCATCCTCTAAAACGATTTCATGATTTAGGTTGTCAATACCCTACCCAAGCAATTAAGTGTTTGGTATGTTGATAAAATTGGCAGTTTTAGGCTATTTTTTTATCGTTTCTAAACTCACCAGGAAGGATTTCATGATTTTAGGCTGTCATATACCCATACCCAGTGAGTGTTTGGTATGATTTTGATAAACCTGTCAGATCTCGGCTATTAAAAAAGCTTTCAGATTCTTATCAAAGATAATCGACTGTCTATATAACTTTTCAAATTTAGGTTTTGACTAACGCACAATTAACACCAGCAATCTAGACTACTCAAAAAAATCTATTGGAAAAATTAGCAGCCACGTCTTTTATAAACTTATACAAGCTTGAAAAACATGTTTGGCTGTTGGGTGACAGTTCTTTTAAACTCTGTCTAATTTTGCTCCAGAACTTCGAAAGCTCTGAGATTTGAATTGTTATTTTCTGCGTTGGCCGATTGATTCAGTTGGGTTTACACGTCTTTTAGCTTTGCTTTGTTTATAAGTGTTTCTTTTAAAGGCCTTCTTTATCATTTCTTCCCACTGGTTAACGATTTTTGTTTTGAATTGTCAATACCATTCCTGAGTAATGAGTGTTTGATACAATAGGCTGACCAGTATGATTCCGAACTGTGAGGTAGAATAGTGCCAGAAATTTTACATTTTTTCCTCTTTTTTTTCAAATTATATATTTCTACAAGCTTATTCCAAGGATAATTGCAAATTGTATTTTCACATCATATGGCTGTTATTTACGAACTTATCTTTTATAACAACTTAATCGTGTAGTAGTATATTATCGAATGCCAATTCCCTTGCCCATGTTTTGTTTCTTCCTATTGTATAACCACTTTATTGGATGTAATACTTAATTACCACTCGGAAATTCTTAACAAAAAAAAACGCAATATAGAAGTAGTTAACACATAGAAGAAAGTTAGTTTTCAAAAATTAAAAAAAATGTATGGTGTAGAACACGTATACCAACATAAACAAATAACAACCTCTCATCTTCGTAAATTATCTTTAAATTTCATTTTTTCATATAAATATACATATTAGTGATTTAATTATTACGTCTCTGTATAATAACGAAAAGGTGAAATAATTTCTGCTACAATGGCTTCATTAAAATCTCCATTCGCCTGTTTTTCTTAATTCTACACTTGCCGCAAAATGTAATTAGTTCAACATTTATAAATAATTTCTTTTCTTATTTTAGACTAATTAATACCCAGATTAGAGTGTTAAAAAAAATTGGAGGATTTCCTGTCAGTCTGGTTTCTTTCGACCCACTGCAATCCTACGGCCCGAGATCGCGAAATAGCGGTTCCAGTCGGCGGATTATCTTTTTCCAGTCATCAATCCCAACCAGTTTGCTCAGATTGGTGGATTCGGTGTCAAAACGAATTCGAGATATTTAATAAAAGAAGTAAAGATTCGAGCAGGTTTCGAATGCATCTGTCACTAGACGGAAATGTTAAGTTTTTACTCGGGAGATCTACAGAAAGGTGGTGTTTTTTCTATAAACTGTTTTTCCTCCAAACTTCGTTAATTCTAGACTAGACAGACTGTGTGATCTGAGTTATATATTAAGTTATTATATTAAATAATTGCAAGGTAATTAGCATATTGTAAGGCTTTCTGTCATCATACTGACCTGGATTATGCACCTTCCAATCAATGAAGCACCTACTCGTCGCCTACTTTGTGACTAATTCATTGTTTTTCCTTGGCAATACCGTTAGAAGCTTTAGAAGATAGCAATCCTCTGGGAGTGCTGAAAGTTAAACGAGAACGCCTAGATCAAGAACCTTTTTTTTCTCTTTTTTACGAGGGTTCGCAGCAGCGGTTATATCAACCCTCGGGGTGCCGGTGTTTTTGAAAAAAAGTCCATTTGTAAGCATGTCGGGTTCGAAGCAGGGACCTTTACCTTAAAGTGATGAACGCCGTGTCAAAGTCTAAACCGTTGCTGCCACCGACGCCCCCCTCAAGTAGTCCAAATATGCAGTTTTAATAAATTACACGCTAAATATTTGCTGTGTTAGAAAAATCACTTAATTGAACTAGCAAAAGGTCTAAAGTAAATCTGTTCCTAATTAATAGAAACGGCCTGTGTTAAAGGCAGGCCTTAGGTTCTGGAGGGCAGACTGTATGCTTTTTGAAAAACAGTTCCCTAGTTTTGATAATTTAAACTGAAAAATGTTAATAATCGTTGACATCGATAATCCACGTTTATTGGCTTGGGCCTCGTTTAAATTTTAAACTCTCTCTTGTTTGTTAGCGATGTTGTTGGAAAACGGGAATTCCAACGTTGCCCAGTTGCCTAATCATTCCTACTGTAACGTTACTGGAATAATAAACAGATGTCATAAGGACAATTGCAAAGCGACGCTCCGACACTCTTAGATTAATTAGGTTTTAATTTTACAAATATCTTAAGGTTTCTATACTGTTTTCGCTTATTTTGATGACTT